CAAAATCACTAATAGCGGGGGAAAAAGAACTCAAATTCGCACACTCTCGGACTTAGGAGGATCTGAGGAAGGATCTAAGATTGGTTATTCTAACTCTTATACTTTCCGAGATTCTTGTGTGTTACATACATTCACACTAAACTAGTATAACCTTTTACCCTTTGAGTACAAATGGTGAACTGATTAAATGGCTTCAAGCGGTGATTTAAAAAAATGCTAGTACCATTTAATATACTCGTTGAATAAGTCAATGTTCTCTAAATCATTACAGCGGATCTTCTTTAAATTGGTCCGGTTAATAACTCTTCTCTGTAAAGGTCGATATTACAAATAATCTCCTGAAGCTCACTTGTAATGCCTATATGTGAATGAAGCGGATGCTATATAAAAGATTATGATTTGGGAATGGATTTGCAGCTCAGCCTGCATTCATTTCAATTGGTTTCCCCCAAATTACAGGGCTTTTGCGGAAGTCCTTCTTTGCAGTTACGCTTTTCAAATTATACGTATTGTTGTGCATTTTAAAGCAGCAGCGATTGGTGGGGCGTCATAACAACTAACAGTAACTAATTCCGATCACGATGGTCCATTGGGGGCTGTTGTTGCCGACTTTCAGCAGCGCAGTCAATGAGCACTGAAAGTTTTACGATAAAAATGAAATTGCAATAAGTGTAGCGGCTAATGTAAGCGTTAAGGAACCCTCCAGCCCACCAACCCATCAGTCTACTAACCCACCAGCCCAAAACAATCCAAGCCAACCCAAATGTCTGGACCGTGAGGCTGTCTAGGCAACAGCTTGTGTTGCGTGCCAAGTTTAGCGCCTGGCCATGGGCCAATTTGTACAACTAGCGATGGGGTGGGACAAGGCGATTTGCCGGCTTATTACTTATCTGGGTGTAGGCCGCGACTTCGAGAAATGCATCGAATCCGAGCGACCGAGCGGTGTGGGAGGATACGGCTTGGTTTTGCCTATAAGTGGAAAAACTCCAGCTGAGCGCGTTACCAAAAACTTTCTTGACGTTTTTGGCATTGGCGCTTGGACGCCCCACTTAAGATATGAACATGGCCAATGGCCGGGGGGCGAGTTCGCTTAAGTTCTGGCTGTTAAGTTGCCGTTCTTGTTCATGCCATTCCTAGCTTGCTGTGTGTGTGTGTTTGTGTATGTTTTTTTTTTAATTCCCAAATCGAAAAAGTTTGCTTTAGCGATTACACTATCACTCTAAATGCTTTGAGCGTTGTCGGCCAAATTATTTTGAACGGGCACCACGCACGCCACAGAAAACTGGCGGGGTGCTGAAGCAGAGGATGAGGCTTAGGCCTAGGCTCGAGAGCGTGGCGTATGTGAACTACTAATTTGACATGTCTGGAAAATTTTTGTTGTGCCAGAGCCTAAGGCTAAATGCTTGGCTGCTCCCTACCTCTTTTCGCCCACTCTTCGCCGCTTTCTTCCTCACGCTCTTCCAACTTGTTTGGCACACGCTCAGAGCTCATTCCGTATGCGTGGCGGGGCATCGGGCGTGTGGGGCCGCCGCCGCAGTAAGCATGCAGCATTAAACGATTACAAATGATTAAGTCAGCAACTTGGCGTGAAATTTGCTCAAATTGTGTATAAGTGTCTGTTCGTCTGTCCATCTGCCTGCCTGCCTGTGTAGTACATGTGTTTGTAGCGTCTTTGAAATCTTGACGGAGGACATTAAGTGCAATTTGTGCTATCTGCACGAGTTTATCAGCGTCCTTCTCTCTCTCTCTCTCTCCATTTGCTCTCTGTGGAGAGAGAAGATTCCCCAAATGGGGCTCGAGTGTAATTTTCATTTTCTAGTCTACGTATATGGGGAATTAATTATTTGCTCTGATGCCTTCACTTGACATACTCGTATGAATTACGCGCCGGCTAAGGAAAGTTATTCATAGAGCGCCTACAAGTATGCAACGAGTGCTCGAAAGCTTCTCGATAAGCAGGCCTGCCACAGACGACTGCCCTTCAAGAATCGCATTTCATTACAGCGCTGACAACAAATGCCAAAGAAAATTGCCTGCCACATAGTGAGAAAAAGAAAGACAGAGAGAGAGAGAGAGAGAGAGAGAGAGAGAGAGAGAGGGAGAAGGAGAGAGCGAAAGTTGAAGACATTCGAAATGGAAAATTGCTTAAGCCATTCGAAGGCCATGCAGCCGATTGCTCCAATTTCCCCAATTTCTTTCCATTCCTGTCTCATTGAGCTTACGCTTGCGTTGGCTTTCATTTGCTTTTTACGAAAAGAACAATTAAGTTTCCACAGCGGTGGGGTCAGGCTACTTCTTCTTTTTCTCCTCCTTTTTGTTTTACCTTATTCGATTTACTTTTTTAAGCCCAGTCTTCGCCAGCTAATGCAAAAAAAGAAAGAAAAAAATGTGAAGGACCTTTAAGGAGGGCAATGAGCGCAAAAACTATTGAGAACGACAGGCTCAGAGAGACAGACAGACAGGCAGACAGACAGGCAGACATTCAATAAGAGTTTTAGGGTTTACGAGAATTTTCTTTGATTGAAAGATTTAATACGAGTTTATGGCAAAAGTACTCGAATCGGCTCAAAGGTAGACAGTAAAAGTGTCTAAGGAATGTTCAAAGAACAAATCAGACACAAGACATGGTAATGGGATTCCATGGAATGCACTTTTGTCCGCATACAAATGTCTGTCAAATTTCCATGAAATCGCAAAGAGCCCAATAATTCTTTTGCTAGTGTTTGGTATCCTTTTCCTCCCAGCAATGGCACCTGAGGGTGCTACCGCATAGGCAAAAAAACTGGCTGGCTCAGCTTACGTTTGTGGCAACAAACAGCGCACCAATATGCAGGGGTTTCTTCTACATTTATCTTTTAGGGAAGTGAGAAATTCTACACTTTAAAATTAAAGTGTTTGAAAGCATTCCATTATATACACGTATATCTTTGCACTGAGGCGGTGAACCTAATACGCAAACGAAGTCAGTTGCTTGTGATTTTTATCCTTCTTGATTTCTCAGCTAAGCGTCTTACTTGTACCTGGAAAATGTTTACATATACTCAGCACTGAAGGCGAGAAAAACGAATTAAATGCTGCAATATCAATAGCAGCCAGCGTGACGTCTTTTCTACAAACAACAAATATTTTTCGTCAAAAACTTTTCTTTTGTTTATTACATACTCGTATCTCCAAGAATTAAAATAAACATTTCGAGTGAATGTAAAGCTCAACTATTTTAATGAAAGGGTCAAAAACTTGCTCCATAAACTCCAAGTTTATATTGATTGCATGTATTTGACAGTCAAATTAAAGTTTGTAGTGGAAATTTGCCATTAATTTTGCACCACAGCCCCTGAATATTGTTGTCTGTCAAATGTCAAGTGTGCTTAAAGGTTGAAATTGGTTTGCACTTCAGTTGATCGTATTATCACAAATTCAAATGCCAGCCATGTGGTTACATTAATATGTAAATAAATAAATACATTGAATGTCAATGCCGAACGCTTTTCACAGTTTTTAATCAAATTTAAATTAAACAACAGATTTGTTGTTGCATTTGCATTTCGAAACCACAACACAATTTCCAACAGACTGTGTCAGCCAGGGCTTTATGTCATCATCAGCGACGCCATCATCGCCACCAAAGTGTTATCGGTTCTATGGGTTTTTGTCCGCCTGGCTGGCGGCTGCTATTAACGACCCACTAAAATCGCATAAATCGCATTAGGACCTCTTAATCATTTTATGCTAACGACAGGATATGCCTTTGAGACAGTTTTAACTGGGGTGGCAGATTGGAGGTTTGTTAAGGAGCTGTTGACAATGCGCCGTACTACCTTGATCATATTGCATAAGTTTTTGGACTTGTTTAAGGAAGTGGTGTTTAATGCAGAGCCACTTGGATTTTTATGGCTCCATATATTTCCAGCTGTCGTTTAATTTATTTAGAAACAGTGTTTTTCTAACAGCAGCTCGAATTCTTTGTTCTCTATTTCTATTTAGTGATGAACTCTGGCAGTATTGGGAACGATTTTAAGTAATAAGTAATTGTTGGAACTACTGCATTGGCACCATTTACAAATCTGTATCTTCGTGGCAGAACAGAATTCACAAGACAACCCATTCAGTACCTATTTTTGTAGGGAGTAAAAAGTCGTTGTACTTGTGGCTATAAAAACGTAATCACAATCTTTCTGAAACTGGACATATGCACATAAGCACCTGAAATATCTAAAATTATTTACATAAGAAACTGACATAAACAAATTACTATTTATTTATTTTCATTTGTTGCTTTTGTTAAATCAACTGATTACTCATTTATTACAACAAATATAAAGTTTATAATATGTATTTAAAATTTTACATTTGTGTTGATGTTAAAAAATGTAACGAACATTTAGAATCAACTCTTCCCATTAATAAAGCAGCAGAATCCCATAAAAAAATTAGGTTGGGAAAATGTCGTCATATTAGGCGGGAATATGTGGCGTATACGTAATTTTTAGAAACAGCTAAGCAGTAATACAAAGTGTTCATAAGAATTAATTAAGACTGAGAAGACAATTTATTTGTTTGAGCTCAAAATGAGCATTTAAATGGAATTGATGTCGTTAAATGGAAAACAGCTTGCCTATGACTGCTTTGTGACCAATTTCGGGGAACAGTGGGCAACTTCTTTGCATGTACTTTTGTGTGCCAAGAATTTCCTACTAAAATGATTTTCTTGTATACTTTCAGACTAAAAACCTCGACGATAAAAAATAATGAGAGCAGCTGTGTCCAAGGCAACTAAAGCAATAGCCAGTGTCAAAGCTAATCAAATAAACAGGCCAGTTGTCGGTGGCGTGCGTCGAGTCGCAAATTGAAGTGAGAAGTATAATTTGGCGAACTATCGAGACAATTGCCAGTGGAACAGAGGAGTACTGAGGCGGCGTTTTGGCGGTGATGCTGCAGCTGCAGCAGCCGGTTAGCAAATCAAGTGATATTTTTAGGGCAGTGGAGAGCCCGATATGGCCATGAACGGTGAGCACGGCCTGCTACTCGAACTACAGGAAATGTCAACAGCAGTCACAAAGACTGTTGCAGCCGCAGTCGTTGTGGCCTCCAGCATGGATAATAGCTCCGTCTACTCATACGATGTGGCCGCCACAAATTTGCTGTACCCGTGGGGTGCGACAAGTGGCACGGGCGGTGGCGGCGGTGGTGGTGGCGCAGGCGGTGCGGGGGAGGGCGGCGCAGCAATAACATTGACGGCAGCACAGCGCGTTGCCGACAGTATTGTCGATGTGACCGCCTTGGACCGACCAGCCGTTGCCCAGAGCAATGGGTCACAGTTCCTGCTCGACAGCTATCCTAGTGGCAACGATAGTCTGGACTATGCGTTGTATCAGCAACAAATGGCCGGACAATGCCGGCAGGGTGATGGCAATATGTCCTACTGGAACTTAACCTGCGACTCACCCCTGGACTACGCCCTGCCCCTGTACGGCTACTGTATGCCCTTCCTGCTGATCATCACCATCATCTCGAACTCGCTGATTGTGCTCGTGCTGAGCAAGAAGAGCATGGCAACGCCAACTAATTTTGTACTAATGGGTGAGTATTGGGAGGATTGAGGAAGGTCGCTTCATTGAATATACTTGTAATAATATGTAATAATTTGCGAATTTCTTTATTGTTTCATTGATTTACTTGTGTAATAGAAGCTTTATAATATGCCATTGGAAAATTTCTGGAAGGGAGAGCAGTTGCGGTTTAAAATTCTAAACTCATATCTATAATTGATCAAGAAATTTCAAATCAATTTAATATTTAATATTTAATGATATTGTAGTTGTTGTTTTTCATTACTTGATTTTTTTTTAATGCTCATACTGACTTTGGAGATTTTAATTTGTCAACTTTGTATGGGATATTTATATTTTCCGCATCCGCTTATCGATTATGCGGATGCCCTTGTCCTTCGTTTCCCAATCTTCTAGGCACACAATGGCCACAGCGTCCTAGACATGTTTGTAAGCTAGTGTAGATGTGTGCGTGGGTGTTTGTGTGTGTGTGTGTGTCAACAGCTTAAGAGCCCATTATGAGCGCACATAACGTAACAACTTGACATGTGGCGTGCAAACAGAACAGCCTCCTCGCAACGACGTAACCAGCCGCCCAGCCGCCCAGTCGCAAAGTCGCCCAGTCCCCGAGTCTTAACCCCAACCCCACCCCACTTGGCTCTGCCATACCTCCAGTCCGAGGCCATGAGCCGTTTGTGTGCACTTCAAGACTAAGCGCTGCAATCATTCTGAGCAAAGAGTCGACGGCTGTAGCCTTTGTTGCAGCATGCAAGAGTTGCGCTTCCTCGAAACGCCCGCAAAATGTTGCAAAGTCTCTGCAGGATACAGTTTGGCATTATGCGGAGCTTACTTTTATGATTATTACATATTTATTTTTATTCCATGCCATTGCATCGCCCGCGCCCCCCATTTAATGGGCCGCCTCGTTAAATCAAGCAGAAGTTTTGTGATTTGCTGAGCTTTGCAATTTGAAACACAGTGGAATCCAATTAGGGATAACAACTAACGACATGTAAAAAAAACTGAAATACGAGTAAATAAAGCCAAGTTGAATGCCAAGCTATGCGTAACAATTTAAAAAACCAGAAAAATGTACGCAGTCGTTGCGATTTCTACCACAGAAAACAGGGGCCTTTGTTGATAGAACAGTTTAAAATATCTGTACAAGGATAGGCTACTATGTATCGCAATATGGGAACAACATATAAATTCATTCAATATAAATTATAAATATAGATATAATATAATAGAATAAAAACAATAAACCTTCTGGGTCCACTTGAGCTAATGTTATACAAATATTAATAAATAATATTGGAAATTATACTAATTCCCGAAAGGTATTTAATAATCATAGAAATGGTGCTTAAGGAATATAATGCTGAAGGACAATATATGCTTTAGGAGGTCTACCTCCCGTCAATCTGTATGTATATAATATATCCGAAGATGCAGTTGTAATAGAATAAAATCAATAAACCTTCTGGGTCTACTTGAGCTAATGTTATACAAATATTAATAAATAAAAATATTGAAAATTAAACTATTTACCGAAAGGTAAGTCTTCAAATTTTATTTATTATAAAACAAATAGGTGATTAATTACAAGGAAAATGCAAGGAAATGCAACAAGCTTGCATTATTATTTGAGAGAGAATTTACCGTTAGCTAAGTAAGAGAGAGAGAGAGAGAGGCAGAGAGAGAGAGCGGGGGAATTAGACTGCTAACATGAAAGAGAGACCTGCAATAATACTCATTACATAGTACCGGTATGAAGTTGTATGTACTACCTAAAAAAAAAAAACAAGAAAAGAATGCTAAAGCCGAGCAAGGAACAAAAAAGGAAAAAATAAAATAAAAAAATTTTATTAATTAAAAAGCATATTGATTAAATTATTTAATTAAATTAAAGACATGTTCATGTACAGTTTCAACAGCATACATTTACATCAGAATCGTGTCTGTGCGTATTTATATGCGTGTATGTATGCAGCACAAAGTTGAACCCAAGCAGCAGCACCAACAACAGCAGCGGGCAGCGGTACAAGCAGAGCGTGGGCAGCGATTTTATTTTATTTAACTTTCTTTAGAATTGACATATCATGATGACACTTGGTATGCAGACACATAATCACTAACGGGATGTAGCTACCTAATTTTAACTACGGGAGATATGGAAAAATCACGAATTGCGGGGGAGTGGGGGGTGGGGGGGTGTATCAGAATAAAAAAATTAACTTGACCTGTCTAGGGCTTATGGGAATCTGGATACCGAGTTTGGTTATTCTAGCTATTGTACCTTCTGAGATCCTTGCGCTCATACAGACGGACGGACAGACGAACGGACAGACGGACGGACGGACATGGCTATATCGACTCGGCTTGTCACCCTGATCAAGAATATATATACTTTGTGGGGTCTGCCACGCCTCCTTCTGTGTGTTACATACATTCGCACAAAACTAGTATAGCCTTTCACCCTTTGGGTACAGGCTATAATTAATGAATTAATTAAAATAAAACCAGTGTCTTACTAAGTTCTCCCATAAACGATCTCTACTGTGACTTTCATTGCCATTGCCACTGCACTGCTTGACTGGCGGAATGGCAAATGAAAGGCGACTAATTTTTAATCGCGTTCGTTGACAGGGGTCCTAGTCTGAGGGAGGAGGGTAAAGCATGAGAATTTTAATTGAGTTTCCCACGCAGCAACCAACGGCAACAACAACAACAGCATCAACAGTACGGGTAATACAGACTGGCAGGGCTCCGAATTAAAAGAGTATCGCTGTTAGAAATCTGTTGCCGTTCTCTGTTGACACTGAGTAAACAAAATTGTTCCCAAAGCGGTACCAATAATCGTATAGTATAATAGAATATAATTAGCTTTGCAATTAATAGTATAGTATAGTATAGTATGTACAAGAGAAATCTTTTAAATGCACCCAAGCTTTCCACACGAACATGACCTTGAAATGATGAAATGCAGAGTAAAACGATTAAGTGGATTAGCAAATGGTCAAAGGAAAAAACGGAAATAATGTCTAAATTGAATTTTCGCGCAGTTAATGGAAGTGCGGCCCTTACTGTTCCTTACTGTTCCTAACTGTTGTTGTTGTTTTAGCTGGTACCAGAGATTTAATTGGCATTTATCAACGACTGCGATGCTTTAGCAACGGCACTAATTTGTCAAGCTACGGTTTTTAATGGCTCGCGTGTCAGTTGAATGTTTGCACTCAAATGTTAAGCACTCGTCACAGAGGGGGGGATGCAGGGGGCGATGGCGATGGCGCTGGCGATTATAGCTGGCATTGCTCGCATTGTTTACCGAACTTGATGTTGGCTCTTCTTCTTCTTTTTCAGGCATGGCAATATGCGATATGCTGACGGTCATATTTCCAGCCCCTGGACTTTGGTATATGTACACATTTGGTAATCATTACAAGCCCCTCCATCCGGTCTCCATGTGTCTGGCCTACAGCATTTTCAATGAGGTGAGTAAGCAAGCCAACGAAAAAGCAAAAACAACAAACCCTAAAACCACAGTATCACAACAGTATCAGATGATTTAGATCACGGTATTGAATTTGTCCAGAACAACCTTTGGCTGTTGCAATCGAAACTGTTTTTGTTGACAGTGTAACCGAAATCGCATATACTTTTAGAATAATAGAGAACTTTTGCTTAAGCGCTTAAGTCGGGATTGAAACATAAACATATCAAATAAAAATATTACAAATTTTGTTCAAGAGAATGGAAGTCGAAAGGATTCTTAATTTCTACATATTTGAAATGTGTTAAAAATCATAGACAAGTATTTTAAAAGAGTATACTCATTTGTGTGCGGTAAGCAGAGCTTAATGGATAACTATCAAGGATTTCCTTACATATCCCTGTTTTTTCTCTTTTTTTCAAAAAAAAGTGCACAATATTTCTGAAAATTAATTAGAATGAGAGATAGGCAGCTTTAAAGTAAGAAACCAATTAATAAATCTTTATTTTAATGCAAAAGCTCGACTTAAAATTGTAAAAAGTTCCATGGCACAACATTTCTTTAATGTCTACAAATATTTCTTTATGATAGTTAGACAGAATCTTCATTAAAATTTTAATGGAATTCTTAAAGTTTAACATCGATCTAATCTCTTAAAAATGTTAAGCTTTCGATAATTTGTGTTATAACTGGCATGATTATATATTTTTAGTCATAAGAATCACTATTAATATGTGAGGCATATTAACAGTAACAATAACTACAAATGCCTTTAAATATTAACTTGATTTGGAACGCAATCTAGAATACCTTTGTGCATGATTTTGACAAATGATCGAAACAGAAGCTATGAAAGTAATTCTCAAAGGACTCATGTCAAATCCTATTCAAATACTATGCTTTTCCTTGGCTCTGTATGAATATATATGTTAATCCAGTTAATTGCAATATTACTCAAGCACGCAATGTGCTAGGAATTGCTCATTCATGTCACACAACCCACCACTAGAATATGCCCCGAGGGACTCTCATATATTTTAGTTGTGAGTTGTGAGTTGGAGTTTAGAGTTTATGTGTTGTTTCGACGCCTTGTGCTTTCTCAAATTTCGTCTGTACAGTACAAAGCGTTGCGCCTTCGGGTTAGCCCAGTTAGGCAAGGTCCCCAACTCTGGTGAATTCATTGACCTAAATAAAATGCCTCGTTGCGTTATTATCGCCCCGAGTCTGAGACTCGACTGTGCACTACTCCGTTACTAACCCGTCATTATCAATCGGCTTTTGTTTTGCCCTCGCATTACGTGTATGCTCTCTCTGCTTATGCTTTTGATTATGCTTGTCGATAAGGGTTTCGACAGAGCTGCTCTCGCCCTGCACCTTGCACCCTCCCCTTGGAGAAAAACAGCCGACGCGTCGACCTTATCGTTATCGTACTATTTGCTGCTACGTTACTTTTGCATTTTGTCACTTCTGTCAGCATTATAGAAGTCGGTAGTGCCACTTACCTCTTGCCACCTGCCGCAGAGCACCCCCCATCCGCCATCCATCCACCATCCACCATTCACCATCTACCATCTACCATCTATCCTCCCACCCACTCAATCATTCAGTCATTTAGTCATCCATTCGTGCCTTTTACACCATCATCATCTTGCGAGGCGCCGTGCATTCGCTTTGATTAATCAACATTTTCAATTTATTGTGCTACGCATAAAGCAAAACTGTTTACTCACTTCAATGGAGTAGTGTCGAGCTGATAAAATGGCATTGTTCTAGCAGCGCTACTGGCTTCGCAGCTCCGAAGCATTGGAGTTTTGATTCGGGGATGGAACGCCGACGACCATTGCCTTTCGGGTACGTGCTGTGCCAGGCCTCTCATGGGATTCGTCTGGGAATGGAGCTGGGGCGCTGCTTGGAGCGTTTATCTGTGCGACTGTGCGTGTTACTGCCATAAAATTCAGCTCACATTCCCAGGCACAAACACACACGCACAGGGCACTGTGTAATGACTACCAAGCGGCCTTGTAGTTGGAGTTAAAAATGCTCCTGCTTCCTATTCTCCCTTTTACTTTACTTGAAGTTTATGTTTCATGTTTATGTTCCTCAAACAGCAACCTCTAGTATAGTAAGTACGAGTATAGTATGCAGTAGGAGCGGACATGTGCGGGCGCATTGTTTGCTGCTAAAGCAAAAATTTAAGATTCTGTTTACCAGAATGGAAGGCGATTGCAAGGACTTTCTGTGTTGATAAGTTTTGATAAGTTTTCGTGTACTTTATGGCAGTTCCTAATTAAACTAGCAGCAAGGAGGCGGGAAGATGAGGAGAAGTATTTGAAATAGTAGTGGTAGTCGATGTAATAGTATTAGTATTACAAGTATAAGCGAAAGTATTGTTAGTAGTATTTGTACGATTTGTTGTAGTATAACAATAGAAGTAAGATAATATACATAGACATTATAATATTGGTAGCAGTTATAATATGAGCTTAATTAATTTGTAGTAGAAGTTTTAAATTTCGTTCGCCTTGAAGGTAGTGGTACCGCGATCGAAGACCAATAACCAATGATAGAAAATACATACTTTATACTTCAATGCCTAAATATCATGACGAATATGTGTGTAAATTATTTGCCTTTTTTTTTAAAGTCAAATTAGTGCTTGAATCGGCCATTAAGCTTAAAGAACACAACATTTATTTACGTTAGTAATAGTTTTTATAGTTATGTCATCCAGAGATAATTGTCAATAGTTGCTTAATAAACGGTATAATATACCTATATAGCACTATAATTATGCGTATAAATTTAAGATATGGGAAATCCTACCAATTTGTTTCCTTACCATAGCTAGTTAGTAATAAAAACAACCGCCCTTTTTCCCCATCCCCATTTCCTGTGTGGCCTGTAGTGCTTGCCACAAGCATTGTTTACGACTCATTTATTGACAGCCACTTGCGTTTTCTGTGTTTTTTTTCCTACTTACAGATAATGCCGGCCATGTGGCACACCATCTCTATATGGCTGACGTTGGCCTTAGCAGTTCAAAGGTAAATATGCGATTGCAATTAGACTACACTGTACACACTACAAGCTGAAGAGTCTCAGCGCCGGCCAAGGCAAAGAAAAAACAAGAATAAACAAAAAGCAGTCTCTATTGAAACATTGCCTGGCTGCCTGGCTGCCTGATGGCACGGAGACTGACTGGCTTGTTGACTTGTCAATGACTCAATAAATCAGCGGCACAGTGTCATCGTCGTCGTCGTCGTCGTTGTCGTTAGTTGAGAGGCAGTCCTCATTCCTTAGTCGTTCGTCAGTTGATGGCATCGCCATCACTGTCAGACGTCGGCCGGTGTGTGACAAAATAAAATGTCAATGCTATATTGTAGCTATAGCCTTGAGCATACAAATTATGCTGACAAACCGGAGATTGTGTCTATGCATTCCGATGTGTGTAGTGTGTATGTATGTGTGTGTGTGTGTGTGTGTGTGTGTGTGTGCACACAAACAAAGTGCTTGGCGCAGTTAACAGTACGTATGAGTAATGTGAGTGCTCGTACACCTGCCGTTGCCATTAGGACTGATGTCTCTACTGCCACGCCTCCTGCACATAAGTCACATAAGCCAGCCTATACTACTATATAGTTGCAACCCCAATTCAGTGCAAATAAATCAATAAATTGGAGCCAACTGTGGAATTGGCAGTAGAGGCCATCAAAATCCAAATTAAATCGCAGGCTCGAGTGTTTAATGAAGTGCCCATTATCAGGAAATACGTAACAAATAGGTATCTGTACAGTTGCCACGAATTGCTTCATTTTTTGCGTCTTTCATTTGGCAACATCGCTATAACTTACACAGTCCGACAGAATTGAAGCATGATCCAGAAATTATAATCAATTATTATAAACAATTATTATAATCAATTATTATAATCAATTATTATAATCAATTATTTTCAAAGCTCTTATTATTATTATAATTTTATTATTAATCTTTCCATTCAAACTCCAATATTAACAAGTTTTGTGGCATCATTTTAAATTGTTGCTTTCAGATTGTTTGCTAAAAAGTGCAAAACTCTCTTTTTTTTGTTGTTCCAAGTTACGAAGCATCTTAAATTTCTTTCATATCTAGCTGGCGAATTCTGTAGAAGCAAGCATTAGTTGCGAATTAGTTACTCCAAATAGCTAGTTTTCTACGATGAGCTTAACCTACTTCATTTTTATTTCCTATTATGCCCAACAACATACTACTCGTAATATCCACTATGCCAGCCAAACACCTGCTGTCTAGTGTATATAATTTATGTGAAAAACAATAAACTAACCTGGGAATGGGCTACATAAGCTGTACATGTGATATATTGCAGATGTGGGCAGGTATGTTGGTATGTGTATTAAATATTTATATATATTTATGTATATAATATATAGCTACATATTTTGAAGTGGCTCAAATGTCGTCGGACGGGCGACCACTTGAGGGCCAACAACACACGGTCCCAGGGTATTGTTCTACTCGTATTAGCATCTACATGTGGGTGCCTATGTGTGTGTGTGTGCTGCCTATACACACACACACACACAAAAATATATGTACGCGGATAATAAATTTTACAGCTTTGAAAATAAATTTTAAAAAGCGCCCCGAAAAAGGAGGCAGTTGAAAAAATAGTCATAAATATTTGTGCCATTATGCGCCTGGGCTCGTACAGAAATAAAACCTTCAAGTGGCCACTCTGAATGCTGATGTGTGTGTGTGTGTGTGTGTGTGTGTGTATACGTGTGTGTGTAGCTTAAATAGCTAAATAATAATATGTAGGTATGTATGCGAGGGGAGACGCTGTCGTACCTTTTCTAAAACGCGTTGAAAATTGCCAAAGGACAAATAGCGCGATAAAACAGTCAACGTTTATTGTTATTATTGCTGCTGCTGCTGTTGTTGTTGTTGTTGCTGTAGCTCTTGTTGTCAACTCATTGTATTTGAAGTGTTTTTATGGGCATTGTTTGATGTGGTTGTTGTTATTGTTGCTGCTGTTGTTGTTGCTAGACTGGGGGTCCATCCCACTGACTGTTTTTGCTGCATCACTGCCTGCGGCCAGAGCGCCACTTGAGCTCCATTCAAGCGCGTATATTACTTGTATGTGGTAGCAAACGTGTGTGGGTGTATGCGTGTGAGTCTCTGTGTGTGCGTGTGTGTGGATTTATGTGGGTGTAATATTTATTTTACTGTTGCATGTCTGCATTGTTACAAACTATGAAACAAAACTTACAACACGTGCCACAAATTATTTCGCAGAATTCAGTCTTTTCCGCAGTTTCACATTCAGGCTCTCCAGCTTATTGCCACACGAAATGAATTCATTCTGGATATCCGTAATTTAAGCATAATTAAGTTGTTATATAATATATTTTTGTGCAAACACAAGTACCACAAATTAATCCCAAAAATGCATCACAAATGCTGCGTGCTTGCATATAAGTGCTGATTCAGCATTCTTTGAATTGTCAAGCTTGTTTGCTATTTGCGATATACTTGTATGTATACTACTTGTATATACATAGTATGTATATACAAATCATCATGTGACTGACATTAAAGGGGATGTTGAAAAAATAATAGACAATTGTGTTCCTTTCAATGCATATTTTAGTGAACAGGTTCGCGTTATTATACTCTGTACATGAAATGTACAGAAGTATATTAGGTTTGCGGGAGCTGAAAAATGTAACAGGCAGAAGGAGGCGTGGCAGACCCCACAAAGTATTTATATTCTTGATCAGCGTGACAAGGCGAGTCGATCTAGCCCTGTCTGTCTGTCTGTCCGTCCGTATGAACACCTGGATCTCAGAGACTATAAGAGATAGAGACACAAAATTTTGCACAAAGATGCCTTATGTGTGTATTCTCTACGAGTTTGTTTTATTTTTTTGATTTCCCGAAAATGTATATTTTGGAATTTCCCTCCCTCCCCCCTCTACCCCGCAAATCGCGATTTTCTCTAACTCCCGTAATTCTTGGAATTTCGAACTAAAATTTGGGAAATACCCCCAGTTGGTTATTATGTGTCCGTATGCCAAGTCATACTGATAGACCGATTTAACAAGAAGTTATAGCCATAAATATATTTGCTGCTCAAGCGCTGCTCAATCGCTGCCCGCGGCTGTTGTTGATGTTGGTGCTTTGGTTGACTGCACACATGTTTACACAGACACGAATAGATGCACATAGGCATACATACACTCACACAGACGCAAAAATTTTTTTTTTTTTAATTTTCTTAATTTTTTTTATTTTCTATAATTATTGTAAGCATATAGTATGTGCAGAGTATTTCAAAGTCGGACTTTAGCTCTTTTACTTGTTTTCTTATCGCATTTGAATGGCGTCTGACAAATGTGCGACCCAAAGAAGAAAAAGATTTTATTTCTTCTATTTATTTGACTTATGCTTCCTCTACATATTATATCTAGCTTTTATATCAAACTATGATGAAAATACCCATTTATGCGGCTTTTTGCCAAGGAAATATTATTTATAAATATTATTTTCAAATGTAAATTCAAAGTAATTGATTGGTTATATGATTTTAAAAACATTTCAATGAATTCTGCTACATTTAGTTACACTTCTAATTTGTTCTCTACCTCGCTCTCTCTCTCTCTCTCTCTTTTTCTTTGCTGTTTCGTTTTGTGCAAAAATCAATAGCCCATTAAATTAATTCCGATTTGCTTTGGAAGGGCTACCCTAAATTTTTGGCGTTTTTCTTTTAGGGAAATAATGGCACTTAACAGATTGTTTTCAGATTGATTTCAGTCATCAACTGGTTCCTTTGATGGCCGTGAATATATAATTAAAATGCTTGGCGCATTTTATACCGAGCACTGCGAAAACACTTTAGGATGAACTTAGAAAATGGCCAACATATTTACATATTTTTAAATATGAATTCAATTATGGGCCTGAACGCCTTTGCTTAGTTTGTTTATTTAAGCTATTCACTTTAATTAAATCTCCGCTTGACAAAGGTTCAATAAGAGATTGATTGGAAGTCGTTTTGAAGTGTACACGCAGCCGGATCGAAATTGTGCGCATAAATTAGGCCAGACACGGTCTGGCAAAATGGGTCTGGGTGGGGCCACCGATGGGTGTTGGATGACTAGTGTTTAATCATATTAGGCGAGCCATGCGGCTCCCCAGCTTGATCTGCTTAAGGACTGGACTGTGCGACCGCAGCGACGGCAAAAAAGAACGTGATGCCAATATCGTGACTTAACGGAAAGGACACAAAGAGTTTCCTGTGAAGTGTCGCTGTACCGGCTCCAGCACTTTCGCCCTCGCCCGCACAATTGCCTCGTCTGGTAACTGTTGCTGTCATACACATTCGCCAGCTGACTTCCAAGTATTGGGACTTGCGCTTTTATCGTTTAATTGCATAGTTAGCTCTGGACCATTGAAGTCACCAAATCAAACCAAATTGGAATGGTTGTCGTGGTAGTGGTGGGCGGGGCGGGGCGGGGCGGGTTTGCTTGGCGACCAGCAATTGATTTGGCTTGTTGTCGTCGTTGCTGTTGCTGTTTCCGTTGTTGCTCTTTACAAATCAATGAAAAGCTTAATTAGAAAATTATGAAACACAAAGTTAATTAGCTTTTGAGATTTGCTTCATTCGCGTGCACCAATGGGCGTGGCACAAAACAGGCTTATACGTCTGGCGTCTCGGCCACGTGCACGAGGAGGCTGCCTGAGACATGGAGACAATACAATTCTGCCTAGATGTTCAGTAATTTGGTGGAATTTACATTCGAGAATAGAACACGCATCAAGCTAGAGACAGAAATAGAAAAGTTATAATAGGTCTGAGCTGAAATATTTGGAAAACATGCAAAACTTTTGCAGAGAGAAGGGCTTAGGATTGAACGAATTTCAACAAATTTCAATATCAATTAAATTCTCTTTTTAAGAATTTAAGCTGCAAGTAACTGCCCTACCATTCCCGTTATTTTTGAACTCTTTGGGATCTCCTAATTAAAGGAAAGACTCTAGGGCCAACTTTCTCAATTGAAATGGTTATACATATATACAAGTATATCTAAGTTTACTTATGGAATGAAAAATAGGCTTTCAATATAGATAAAATCCTGATATTCTTCTCTCTTTTCGCCTTATCCATTGCCCACGCAGATACATCTACGTATGCCACGCACCCATGGCCAGGACCTGGTGCACCATGCCGCGAGTAAAGCGCTGCACCATCTACATAGCGCTGCTGGCTTTTCTGCATCAGTTGCCGCGCTTCTTTGACCGCACCTACATGCCGTTGCAGATCGAATGGAATGGGAACGAGACTGAGGTGTGCCACATGGAGACATCGCTGTGGGTGCACGAGTATGTCGGCGTGGATCTGTACTTCACCAGCTACTATATGTTTCGCGTGCTCTTCGTACACTTGGCGCCGTGCATCATTCTGGTGACGTTGAACATATTGCTTTTTGTGGCCATGCGGCAAGCGCAGGAGCGTCGCAAGTTGCTCTTCCGTGAGAATCGGAAGAAGGAGTGCAAGAAGCTGCGCGAGTCCAACTGCACCACCTTGATGCTGATTGTGGTGGTGACGGTGTTCCTTATTGCCGAGATACCCATTGCTGTGGTTACAGCCATGCACATTGTCAGCTCGCTAATCATTGAGTTTTTGGATTATGGCATCGCGAATATATTCATAATGATGACCAACTTCTTTCTGGTGGTCAGCTATCCGATTAACTTTGGCATCTATTGCGGCATGTCGCGACAATTCCGTGAGACTTTCAAGGAGATATTTTTGGGGCGCATCATTGCTAAGAAGGACAGCTCGTCCAAGTACTCGATTGTGAATGGCCCACGCACCTGCACGAACACCAACGAGACTGTGCTCTAGTAATTGGTGATGTTGGTGCCGCGACGAGGCAGCAGTGACCACCATCGGAGCACCACCGTGCGCACCACTGCTGCCACCTCCTTTACAGTAGCTCATGAGTCGGAGAGCCCTTTGTCGCAGCATCAGCACCAACACCACCACCAACAACAACAACAACATCAACTATCGCACCTCCATCTTCATCAACAGCGTCGAGTGAGCACAATGGATATCATAGCTGAGGAGCGAAACGTTTAAACAAAAAACAAATCCACGTTTTGAATGAATCTAGTCTAGTCTATGGGGGTCGGCAATGTGGGGAGAGGTACGTTGGCACTTAGTTATTGTACCAATCACAACTTTTTACTTCGGTTTCAAAAATCTACAAAAAATAATGCAAAATAAAAAAATAAGAATGAAACATGAGAGGCAAAATTTCGACACGAATTTTTGATCTTTTATTTCAAGAACTTGGACTTAAGCTAGCTAGCTATCTACTATATATATATATGTGTATATATAAACATATATACATATGCAAATATATCCCTATAACGACATATTAGAATTGCATTAAACTCAAAACTGTTTGAAGACGTAGAACATAACGTGTTAAAAATACAATTTTTAATGTTCAAAGATCTTTCTCTACAAAATAAAAAAACAAAAAGCAAACGACAAAAAACAAAACTTGGCAACTTTTTGAATTTAAATTATGTGTTAAAAACAAAACCAACAACCAGCATGTGTACAGTAGTACCTCAAAGTACACACACACACAAGAACAAAAATATAAGAACTATGTACCTTTAAGCGATTGACAGTAAGAGAAGTAGAAGAAGAGTAGATGTAAGGATTAGGATTAGAAATTCAAATGGAAGCAAACGAAACTGGTAGAAGTTTCAAAAATCAAATTACTTATCCAATGGAAATACCATTAACTACTAAGTTAGCGATTAATTGCTCTAATTAAGGAGAAGAAGAAGAACTAATGATATGAAAAATATGGAAAAATAAAGTCATTTAAATTCGTAAACCTTTTGAGCCCCAAAGTTTACAGATTTAAATGATGAATAACTTATTTATTTAGTTTTTGAGAGAAATTTAAACGAATTTGAAAATTAGGCGTAAGCAACAATAAGCATCGCATAATGTTTAATATTTAATTCAAAATATAAATGTAAGTACATACATACATGTACGCATGTTTTTTTTTTTTTTTGAGTAAATTAAGTGAAGAGTCTGTGCGAGAGTACATAAGTATGTAAAATACATATAAACAAATATCTATTTATTTGGAATAAGAGTTCGAAGCTTAAATGTTTAATAAATGTAGTCGAAATACGCGCGAGTATTAATTGTAAAGTATATGTGTTACCTACTTATGTATATGTATGTATCAATATTTGTATGTATTTGCTAGTTACTAATCGGTACACATACTACACACATAACTATCTGAGCCATAGAGCAGAACGTACTACGTGTATGTCTGTCTATCTGTATGGTATACATAAGTATCTTGGTTGTTGTTTCTCTTTGCCCCTTAGCGCATAGACATTGATAATATATCGTATATATTTTTTGTATATAACTGTATGTGTAGGTGTATGTTTGTGTTTCCAGCTGTGCTGCTGAGAAACCGAAATGTGACGTTATTATGTAAATTGAATAAACTAACTAAATACTATAATTGTCACGAAAATGCGACACAAGTGAGTTTTAAATTGGATTTTCAGCTTTGGATTTTCCCCATGCATCCGATACTTGAATGGCAAAAAAAAACAATAACAACAGAAAACAAATTCAGCGCCAGCAGAAGAAAGTTTATTTGTTGTTAGTTTTCGAGAGTAGAAGACGACGCAAATGTGGATTAGATAAGAAACAGTACAGTCACATACAAGAAAGTTTTAATGAGACTCTTATCAGATATTTTATTTTCTCTTCATTTAATTAAATTTGAGGATTTAGTAGCATGTCTGCAAACTTTATGCGGAGCATATTATTTATGATAATGCATTTTTGGCGAATTTGTCTGCAATAATTGAAGGCTGTGAGTAAAGGCAGCATTCGGGAAAAAATAAAGAAGCACAAACTTGATGTGCCTGAAGAAAAGCAGAGTCGCTGGCTTCAGTTGAAATACTTTCCTATGATGAACAAACCGACAAGAAAAGAGATACTCCAGGAGTATTATAGGAGTCCAAGCAAATGTAAACTCGTACTGCGTATGTACATAAATGACTTATGTGTAGATCAGTTTTATGTCTCTACCTTATAGTCTCTGAGATCCAGATGTTTATACGCACGGACAGACGGAGAGACAGACAGACAGACAGGGTTCGATCGCTTCCTCCTTTAAGGCACAGAATACAAAAATGCCATACCAGAATTGTAATCCACAGAAGCCGAGTTTATATTTTCGTCCAATTATGATTTCCATATGCTTTCAAATAACTCCCAACAATTGAAAGTTATAACTTTACCAAATCGTCCATCGTCGATTTCAAAATAATCGAAAAGCTAAACAGCTAATAAGATGATGACAAACAAAACGAAGTATTTGGTGGCCTTTTTCGAATAAATCAGCAGGGGGTAGGCATAGTTTTGTATTTCAAAAATCATTCTTAGCTATGTTTTCACATTCACACAAGAACGACTCTACTTTGCAGTGCACGAATATAGCTCTCACAAATATTTGAAAATTATATTTTTTTTGCACTCATCGTTTTCGGTGAAAACTAGAGAAAAACAGCAAACGGGTTTAGTAACGCGATTAAGCCAACAAAATTATATGTTAGCATCCATAACGAAGATCAACCAATTGCGAGCAATGGATCCGAAGGAAACCATCAAGCTTTCTGGCGTTGCTTCAATGGTAAACAGTAAGACCATTGTTGAGCGCATATTAGGAGAGCCCTTGGTTCGAGGAACCAATTCCAGTTCAAAAATGGCCTTGATCGTTGAAATATTAGGCGCAGGCCCAGGCACAGGAGCCAAAGGATCGTTGCGTTGCGTAGCGCCACGTGTTCTTCAATTACGCGAAGAGGAATGCACCGATCTGCATAGCCGTGAGGCTCGGCACGAGAACGAGATGATTCAGAAGATGCGGGTCCTAAAGAACTGGGACCACCTGACTCTGGTCGACAAGATCGCTTCGTGGAAGTTAGTCAGTTACAATAATTGCGCCGGCCTACGCCTTTCTTCCACAATGTCGTCGGCTAAGCGCCGCAGCATTGGCGCCCGTCGCTCTTGGATGCTAATTCTGCGACCTTCAAAGCTGGGTGTTAAGGAACTCATCATTGAGTCGATATATCCCTTGCCATATATAGGAGTAGATTGCATTATTCAGCGTGAGAGTAAGTTAAGCTTTTGCTAAAAAGAAACACACATAATTCATCTGTGTCGACAGCATCATCTTCATCAAATGATGAGGATCGCGATCAAATCATAATCAATGACGTCAGTTTGATAAACAAGGCTAAGTTGAAGGGCATACGCGTGGGTGGGAAACCTGCTAATGGCACCAAGAGGGTTTTCTTCTCTGGTGGCATTGTCTTGCCGCTAATAACGAAGAGCTTATCGGCCGATATTGAACATATTGGTAATTCGATAAGAGACACCAGCTCATCTATTGATGACGGGATCGAAGCCAGCAACACACAGCAATAACAAATCAAAAATACACTTTGAAGCGTTGTGAAGGAGGCGGAGGCGAATCGATAGCTACCTATTTGATTTCTTCAAAACTTTTGGACAACTGACATCAATTTAAGACAAAAAAGCATAATCAAATCGGCAGCTAATGGAATACAGTTCCTACAAATGCCTATTTGTGCTCATTCCAGCATCCCATGTCAGTTACACAATCTAATTGCTTCGACTTTGTTTCAACTAGTTTATCTACAAGTTTTATTGTTCTTCGAATTTAAATGTGCGTAAAACCGTAATGATGTAATGTTAATCGTATTATAATTTAATGAAATATATAATATCGAAATTCAACAGAACCAATTATTTTCCCTTGTTTTTTTATGGATCCTTATAACCAATAGTTGGTTGCGTAAAGCAAGGGTCTAGAATCTAGAGCATTGGTTATTGATTGAATTTATTTTGGTGTGCAGAAAATAGAATCTGATGACAACAGACAAAACAACATTTTTTATTTGAAATGTAGTTCTATGTGCATAGCCTTGTTTTGTCGGTTTTAAAAATGTGATGATCTAAAAATCTGATTCAATAAAAATTGCCATTTGCCTTTGGGATTTAATTCATAGTTTTACTTCCATTTATTGGTGTACAGTCATTAAGGACGCGCTGCACTTTCAAAATGCTCTCCTAAAACTAATACACAAACGGTGGAGTCTTTTATCCAGACACCCCTCTTAAGTAACCTCTTAAGCAGACACTCTCCTTGGGCCGACAAAAGTTGATTTGACTTGTTTACACATATTTGATTTATAATTTTTTAGAAAAACAAGAGATCAATTTTGCAGGCCTTTCCCGTGATGCAGATATTTTTATTTGAATGGATTGTAATCAAAATATATATATTTTCTATGTTTCTTTAAAATAGAGCCAGCATTTATTTGTTGGTAATATTTTTGTTAAAGTGGGTCAAAGAGAATTAAGATTTGTTGGACTTCCTTAATATTTTTGTTTGCTTAACATTTCCCACATTTGAAAGTACTATTTATAGTAACGAACTGTTTTCAAACTCCCCATTTCATTCGTATTCATGCTCTTAGAGGAAACCCACTGTATTGGTCTGAAAGTGAAGCCAAATAAATAGAAACACAACAATTTGGTAACTCACTTCCCTCCCCCCCGTTGCCGGCCAAGCTGCCAGTATGCCAATAGGCCAGTGGTGGCATTTCTGAAACAATTGACCAAAACCAAGGCATCTAAAACTTGATAGCATTCTACTGCTCTGGCCAGGCTCCCATGATTAAATTATAACGCAATGCCATGCCCACAAAGTGACGTTGTGCAGGACCATAACAGGTTAGGGGCGTGTCCGTGTGGGCGTCCAGTGCAGGCAAAAGTTCAAGTTGACAAGCAGGCGACAAAATCCAATGCATAAGCCCGACAAAATGTTAAGCTTGTTAGGACGGGCGCTGAACAGTGGGCTGGGGGGGATCACTGGAAGAGTGTGTGAGTGGCATGCTTGAACCTTTTTGTGTTTTTTTTTTGGTCCGAACCATGAAAGTTGGTTTCGTTAAAACTTTGTCGTGCTGGTGTTGATGGCGGCAAGTTTCGAAGCCGCCCCAAAAGTGCAGCGCCAAACTTGTATGCAAACAAGAGAGAACGCTACAAGCACGCCCGACAGTGTAATACCCTGTACCCAGGTAAACTTCCGTCACTGAGTTATATGAGCCCATAGCAGTAGCAAAAAGAGGAAGAAGAAGAGCGAACTTGTTGCTGCAGTTTGGTGGGGTTGTACTGGCGAGAATTTGTTGCGCTAATAACTTTTCTTAGAATTGACCGAATTGAACAATTTTAAACAACAGTAGATAATTATATATAAATTATGTGTGCAATCTGGATGCCAACTTTGGTTATTCTAGCTTTTATAGTTTCTGAGATCCTTGCGTTCATCCAGACGGACAGACAGACGGACAGACGGACGGACGGACGGATGGACGGACATGTCTAGATCGATTTCTCTCGTCATGCTGATTCAGAATATATATACTTTATGGGGTCGGAGATGTTTCCTTCTTCATGTTACATACTTTGCACAAACCTAATATACCCTTTTTACCGTACGGGTACAGGGTATAACAACAGAGCTGCAGCGTGAGGCAGCGACTTGGCTTCAAATCGGTCCACTCAAGCGTACGTGAGTGGTAAGCTGTGTGGGCGTATGTCCGTATGTGTGTGTGGTATGTGTCAGCAATTTGTCGATGAGCAGATAGGCGCATCAGACATGTACACCCCAGCTACTATACTTTGAACCCAAAGTGTGCAAAGTGCGTAGCAAAATATGACAAAAGAAGACAAAAAGAAGCCTCTCCGGCCCCTTAAAGTGTATATACATTTTTAATCACGCCTGCATTTCGAAAACTTGGCAAGTAGACTCCTCTTGTCCCTAGGCAACATGAGTTTATTATGTATATTTTATTTATTTACTCTCGCTGACGAACCAGCAATCTCCCTTCTTTTTCTTTCTAAATTTCAGTGCCCTAATTGCTATCAGCGTCACTAATACTATAAAGAATTCATATGTAGTAAATTAAAAATTAAACAGATAAATAAAATTTAAAAAAAAAATTGTAAATTACCTTTTTATTTAAATGTTGTTTACAATTTGGAAAAGCATGCATTTGCATAGTTTTTTTCTCTGCTTAGATACGAATATCAAGACTAGAAATTTGAAAAACTATTTAAAATAAATTCAACTTTTGCTTCAGATTGTTGCAGAAAATTGGGAGCCTTTTTGAAATCACACTACAGGCTCATGATGGGGAATTCATGATATAAAAGTTTCAATAACGCTCCTGTACAAAGGTAACGAATCAAATGGTTATGTTAATATAATAATCATAATATTACTACTAATATTAGCAGATTATTTGGGATATATTCCATCTATTTTTATTTAGGATATTTTGCCCATAAACACATATAGTAGATATATACCTATTTCCAAAATCTATTATGTGGTAATTTATTTAAGCAGCTTTCTTTGTTAGTTCCAGCTCTCGTGACTTACTGAAAAAGAATAAGTTTCTGTTTTTTTTTGAACTCTTCCACAACCTATTTCATTTCTTCAATTCGAAGCTCTTTCCTTATCCAGCTCTATTCTATTGTTCTTATGCGGCAATCGTGTTTGCATGGCAGGTATTCGTTTAATGCGTGCGTGTCAAAGGCATTTCGTGCAGAACACAAAGCGTTTATTAATATAGGGTATTGGCTGTAACCTCAAGATTGGGCGAGAGCGGGACGTGTGCACAAATATAAGCCTTTTTCAAATCGAACGGGTGAAGACAAAAGGAGGGACAAGACAAATAAACTGTGGCAGCAGCCTGAGAGTAGGGAACTGCCTTCGTCTGTTTGGCCAAAGCCAAGTGCACAAGACTCATTTATTTCATTCAAAATTGATTGACGCTTGAGCCCACGTGCGGATGCTCCAAACTTTACATTAAAGTAAACAGAAGCCATGGTGGGTATGTGGAGCTGTTGGGGTGTGGGGGTGTTTGGGGGTTGCGGGTGCAGATAATCAATCAGAAGCTGCTTATTGGCTTTTCAAAATGCGTCCAACAAAATAAATAAAAGTCAAAGCGACAATGTGGCATGTAATGCCACAACCCCGCCCCCAACATTCCCCTCATAAGGAAGTGGGGCTTGAACGAGTCTGCGTCTGTGTGTGGTACAGGAGTGGAGGAATGGAGGAGCTGCGGTGTGGCAGGTTAGGTCGAAATAAGTTAAATCTAATGTGGAAGAAACAGCTTCTCGCTTTTCTGCCCAAGGAAAGTCAGTCGGCCTGCCAGCACTGTCCGTTGGCATATCTGTCGGCTCTAATGCCAATTTAATGCTGCATGTGGCTTAGGTCTGTGCGAGAGTGTGTATGAGCTGCTGGTCAGCCTTTTCAGTTCTTTGCCTGCCCATCAGTCAGGATGTGCGTGTGCGTGTGTGCGTGTGTGTGTGTGTGGGTGTAACTAAGCTCCTAATAATGCCACTGTATCGATAAACGTCTATAATCAACGGTAATTAGGGTTTTGAGCGCATTCTTGTTATTGCTATCACTCTTCCATCGTCTTATTGTTGTCGTTGTTGCTAACAGTTGCTAATTAATTTTCAATAGAATTTATGCGTTCCCACAACAACAGCAGCAGCAGTAGCAGTAGCAGCAGCAGCAGCAACCGCAACCACCACAACAACAATATCAATAGCAGTTACAAATTAGACGTCTGCACTCTCGCATTTATTTATTTTGCGCCACAATTCAACATTGAATGCGAATTTGTTGCAACATTTTCTTTATGGTTGCAATAAAAAGCGAAAAACCCTAAATAAATAAAGAATGGGCGAGCACTCAGACACTCACAGAAAAGAAGCGGGCAGGCGGGCGGGCGGGCAGGCAGGCAGGCTGAAAAACAGACGGATAGACAAACAGACGGGCAGGGAGACTGAATCGAAATCACAATCAGAATAGACCCTCAGATCCAGTTTAAATACAAATTAAAGCAAAATAAATTAGCACTTGAATGAAATACTGCCGTTTCGGACCTAATTGCACTTTTTCTAGTCATAGCCACAACACAAAGCAACAAAAACAGCCATTGCCACAGCAACAACAATTACAAACAACAACAAACAACAGCGATATACTGGCGCCAGTTAATTTTGAATTGCTATTAAACCACACCAAATGAGTTCTTTGCAGATAATTAGCCGAAATTATGAGCGGTTGGTTGGCAAATAGAGCGATTGTCGAGCACGGACGTTGCGACGAGACATCAAATTTTCGACTGCAGGCTGGCGAAATAAATTTTTAACGACCTCGGATGACAACGCTTTACATCATTTGCACTTAAAAAACAAACAAAAAAAAGACCATTAATGGGGGGAAAAAGGGAAACAAGAGGAAATTTCGAACATAAAAGGTATATTTAATTTCCTTCAGGCCAAAAACCCTTTTTGAATTTTTTGTTTTGTTTTATGGGCTACCAAGATAAATATCTCCATCCTTCGAATAAAAAGTTTTCAAGAAAACGGCTTAAAGTTAGGAAAAATTTCACAAACAAAATTGCATAAATAATGAAAATATTTTAATTTGCATAAAAGGAAATAATATTATGTGTTATGACAAAAATAATGTGAGAATCTCTTTCTCAATTTCCGAAAAATGCTAATATTCGAAATGAAAAAGTGTATGTAATGGCTTATTGGTACGCTTTTGGATTATTTTGATTTATTGGTTGGAAGCTTTCTTTCACAAACAAATAAATACGTACAGAGAGTCCGAGATCTGTTCAGTCAAGGCCAACATATTTGATGGGAG